TATCCCTCTTCCCTTTACTTCAATGGCTCATCCCTTCCCACAAAGTTTAAAAAAAAAAAGATCATAAAAAAAGTTGAGTAAAACCAATCAATACATTAATCATGTCTGATAGTACAAACAGAGTTCTATATCCAGAGTCCTCTACCTCTTCAAATAGGAATATGTATTTTTCAACACTTTCCCAGGGCCAACCTTGGTCACCATAATGATACAAAATTGTTTCGGTGTGGTTTTGTTCTTTCTCTCTCTTTCTCTTTCTCTCTTTCTCTCTGTCCATCATGTATACATACATACATACACACACACACACACACACACACATACACACTTAGAGCCAGTGTATAGATTATTTTACCAGTTTTTTATTTTATTCTGCATAAATTCATATAAATCTTCCTCTAATTATTTGTATTTTCATATTAATCATGTTTAAATTATAATAATACCCCATTACATTCATGTGTCATAATTTTGTTTAGCTGAAATTCCCTAGTCAATGGACAGTTAGTTGGTAGAATGGATAGAATGAATTTTATAAGTGCTTAGAGGCCCCTTTCTCATCTTGTTCCTGTGTAGTGAGTTTATAATCTGATTCACAAGAATATATCTGTGAATTATCATCTGAAATACTTGGCAGAAAGCTAATGTGAACATTATGTAATGTCACTTTCTCTAAAGATCTGGCCAAACTTAAGTTTCTGATTTTCATTCAGGGTGAAAGGAAATAGACATTTACCTCAAACTCTATAATAGAAGAAGGAATTCAGTACAATGCAACAGGCATTTAATTGCCTACTATGTACTAGCAGGCATATGGAGTGTTCAGGGAGGGCTAACTAACTTCTGGTATGAGGGCTTGTTGAACCCTTCTCAGGGCTGCTCATCCATCTTTGGTGTCCACCTGCCACCCAACTCTTACCTGTAGCTCCCAGGAAGCTATAGCATGTGCAGCAGTCACATCCTGGTAAAAACTATCTTGGTAGATGGATTCAATCAAGTAGACCTCAAACCTGTTAGTGAGTTAGTCAATGTCTATTCCAAGCAGGGGAAGATATTCCCCCAGCAGGATGGGCAGATGAGAACAATTTGTTCCAGTGGCCATGAAGGTGGCTGAAGAAGGAGGCACTGTGGAGCACTTAGAGCTTGGTCAGGCATCAAAAACACCAAGATTATACACTGCATCCCATGCCATTGCCAATCACTTTGACTTTTGTCCTGCCACTGGACTCTGATGACTCAGAAAGAGAGAGTGAGGCTAATGATTTTGTGTAACTCTGACTCACTTAAATCCAATTCACCCACAAGTCAAGACATCACCTGTGATGTCATTGATCTTTTTTGAGAAAATCAGTGATGAACAACAGTTATGTACCAGGCTTTGAGCTAGGAGTTGGTGATACAAAAATAAAATCAAACAGTCCCTGCTCTCAAGGAACTCACATTCTATTGCAGATAAATAATGTAAATGCATTAAAGTAAATGCAAAATTTAATCAGGGCACACTTTCTGTAGGATGTAATACTTGGGTTGGGCTTTGAAGGAAATTAAGAATTTTGTGAGTCAGAGATAACAAGAGAATGTATTTCAGGAATGTGGAAAGACACAGAGATGGGAGAATTAATGTTGTATATGTTGCTGTTCAGTAGTTTTTAGGTATGTACAACTCTTCATGACCCCATTTGGGATTTTCTTGGCAAAGATACTGGAGTGGTTTGCCATCTCCTCCTCTGGCTCATTTTATTGGTGAGGAACTAAGGAAAAAAGGGTTAAGTGGCTTGCCCAGGATCACACAGATAATAACTGTCTGAGGCCAGATTTGAATTCACAAAGATGAGCCTTCCTAACTCCCAGCCCAGCACTCTGTCTACTGTGTATGTTGTGTATAGAGAACAGCAAGCCTGCCAGTTTGACCAGAACATTGAGTTCATGAGAAGAAGTTGAATGCAATAAATCTGGCATGGTAGCCTGGAGCCAGATTGTGAATGGCTTTAAAAGTCAGACAGAGAAGCCTGTATATTTATCTTTGTATTATTTATCTTAGAATATTTTGTACTTTATCTTAGAAGAAAGCCGCTAGAATTTCTTGAGTGGAGGGAGTAATATGGTCACACCACTGCTTTCAAAATATAAATTTAACAGATGTAGATTTGAGGGGGATTTGAGGCAGAGAACCAATAAGAAGGCTGTTACAATAGTCAAAGCAAAATGAGAGGAAGGTTTCACCTAGGGTAACTGTAGTGTAAGTAGAGAGAAGAGGGCAGATGTGAAGTATATTGTAGCAATAGAATCAATAAGACTTGGAAACTGTTTGTGTATGTCAAGGAGTTAAGGACGACTCCAAGCTTGCAAACCCAGAAGTCTAGAAGAATGGTACCACCCTCAACATATTCAGGTACAGGAAGTTGGGAAGATGAGAGAATTTGGGTCTATTTTGGACATGTTAAATTAACATACTATTGGAAGAACAGTTGGAAATGTCAAATAGGTAGTGGATGAGGTAAAACCGAAGTTCAGTAGAGAGAATATATAGATATAGATATGTGTGTATATATATCTATATATAATATAGTGTATGTTTATGTATACATAATTATACATATGCATATATAGTGTGTATGCATGTGTATGTATATATGGGAATTATCTGCATAGGTAATAGTTGAACCTATAAGAACTAAAGAACTGATGAGATCACTAAGAGAGAGCATAGAAAGACAAGGGGGTCCAGTTAGTAAAACAACCACCCTGTAAATTTGTCCTATAAAATACACATATACACACACACATGCCAGGTTTAAAAATCAAAATTTGAAAAACAGAAATGTTAGTGGGTGTGATTCTGTAATTACAACGTCTAGTTTGTAATTTCAATATTTAAAGGAAGTCTGCTTTCATTAGTAAGGGTTTTCCGTCCACTGATGCAGATTACAATCTGTCTACATTTTAGTGGATGGTCTTGTTAACTTCTGGGTCTACAAAATCCATGGTCCCTTGACCAAACCTATAATATCTTCTCCATGCCTAATGCTCTAGGCCCAGGCCCAAAGCTTTTTCAGCCTGGTAAGACCTGCCGTAGTTTGTGTTCTACTTGCATGGCTTTCAAGAACTCAGCATAACCTCTATAATACAGTGAGGCATCACAGTGGGTGTATAGCAGAGAGACAGTGCAACACTGAGAGTTTGAAATTTAAATAAAATCAGTTCATTTACATCACCATTTAATGGGAAGCAGGTATTACAGTGGACAGATTGCTAGATTTGCGAGTCAGGAAGACCCATCATCCTACTTTATATACTTATTAGCTGTATGATCCTGAGCAAGTCTCTTAACCTCTGTCTGCCTCAGTTTTCCCATCATAAAAATGGGGATGATAATAATAGCACTTACCTCCTAGGGTTGTTGTGAGAATCAAATGAGATAACAGACTAAAGTATTTTATAAATCTTATTGTGCTATATAAATGCTAGTTATTATTATTATTATAGCTATACCTGTGATATGATTGATTCTGCAGGGTTTAAGATTAGTTAGTCAAGTCCATGCTCTTCTGTTTTCCCAAAAGAATAAACTGATAAACCTGGCTTATACCAAGATGGGTGACTAGAAGAGTTCTTCTGGTTTCTTGCTGTAGTAAATCTGTGGTTGTTGGCTCCTGTACCCTTCTGTAGCCAGGGCTGACTTCTGTCAACCTAGAAGCAATGCATCCAGCCACTCCATGACCACAGATGGCAGCTAAAAAATGGGAGGAAACTTCTTTACCAGATGTCACAAGAGCAAATGATTATTACCCTTTCAGACAAAATTTGTGGTGTAGATGAGTGACATCACATTTCACTGAAGAGCCATTGTCCCACCTCATCATTAAGAGAAAAAAAGAGCACTTTCTTTTATAATCACCTTTGGGCTATGGTTGTAGGACTTTAAAAATATATTCCATTTTATATTTGCTCACAAGATTCTGACACCAAATACTCAGCATCACAATTGTTAAGAAAGAATCCCAAAGCTCATTTGAGAAAGTGCTGTTCCCAGATCTGGAATTTAAACTTCCAAGTGACAGGATAGACTTTACCTATCTTCCTAAATGGTTGTAACACTAAGTATCAGGGTCCCCGATGTGTATTAGTCTAAGAACACAAATAGATGGAAGTGATAAGGACACATTTCCAAAGATAGTGGCACAAAAATTTCCAATTTATTTCACAGATTTCAAATAATCAATTATAAAACTACCTTCTAATTTTTTGCCCTTCTGATTATGTCAATTCTACCCTGTAAAATGTAAATAACAAATTATACTGTCTACTAATACTATGAATTCTCCATTCCCCAAAAAGTTTCTTTTCTTAGAGGATAATGTTGACTCTCCCCCTCTCTCACACAGTATGGCCTTCTTGATGTTGGAAAGACAAAGCTAATGTAGACGTAGGGGCTAGTCTTTCTAGATCCCAGAATGTCAATACTCTTGCCAAAAATGAATTTATCAGCTAAATATAGCCAAGAGATTTAGTTTATCTAAAATGTCCTACAAGGAAGAAATAGTTTACCACTGTTTTTGCAGATTGAGGTAAGTCTAACATATTATTGACATATGTTATAGATTTAATTTAATGCTGTAGTTCAGATGTGTGTTCTGATAAATTTGAGTGAAATCCAGGCAAAGATGAGTAGAGTTGTTTTAATATTTATGGAGTTGAAAATGCAGAGTTAGCAAAGGAAGGATTTTAATTAAAACAATGTTTCTCCATTAGTGCTTATAGGAGAATGGAAAGGAGTACTACTAGAACTTGCTGGTCATTTGTATTTTCACTTGATTTTTCCTGCATTTTGAAGGCCTTTATATTCTCACTTCTCAGCAGCAGAAAACCCACATACTTTCTCTTTGACCAATAAAAAAATACAATTCTGGGACCTTTCAGGATTTCTTCTTTTTTGATGGGGTGCTAGAAACTCCTGAGTATTATTGACCCTTTCCCATTTCTTTTTTCTGAAATTTTAGGTATCCTGGAGATAACATCAGTGGAAATAGGAGTTGTAGCAGTCAAAGCCATTAACAGCAACTATTATTTAGCCATGAATAAGAAAGGAAAACTCTATGGTTCAGTAAGTATGTTTCTTTTGTTTTCAAAATTGACTTTAGTAAGTTATCACCATCATTTCAGGATTGTAACCCCATCCCAAACCCCTAGAATAGTTCTCTTCTCATTAGATTGCTTGAAAATAGACCTACATGGGCAATAATTCTCCCAAACTTCAACCAGCTCTTCTGACCAGACAAACCCCCTGCTGTTTATCTGTTTACCTGATACTGATCATCAATAAATATTCTGGCGTAGTAACTGGTGAGAACTCTCAGAGAAACTTCCGGTCAGCTTGGCATGAGAGCTATTCTTAAAAGTACTGTAGCATGGAAATATACCCCACTCCTCATTATTATCCTACCTGGCATTAGGTCTGTATCTAATATTCTTTAGTTTCTTTTTCTTACTCTCATCTTTATTAATTGATTCATGTTACCTATACACATTCAACTTCGCTGATTAGTCTACTTAGTACTAGGCTCATTTAGGTTAGTAAGCTTCATCACTACCCCTTGCCACTCTCCTCCCCCCACCTCCAAAAAAGCTCATATCCTTATTTGAGCAGTCATGATGTAATAGGAGGGAGTTGTGTATTTGGAATAGAAGATCTTGGGTTAAAATCCCAGCTCTTCCACTTACTACCTCAATGATTGTGAGAAAGCTAATTAAGCTCTATGCTTCAGTTTCCTCATCTATAAAATGACTCCTAAGATCTCTTTCAACTCTACAGTAATGATACTGTGAACTCTAGATAGCCATTATATAAATGCATACTATTAGATACCAAGGAGATCAGATGAGACAATGTGGCTGACTTGTAATATATACAATACCAACAATAATACAAATGGAAAAACAAAAGAAATGAAACAAAGCTCTAAATATTTTGTGATTTTATGATTAAGCTTAGCTCCAGGGAAAAGATATAGTAATGTACCTCGTAATCCCTTTTTTGGTAAAGTTAAAGGACTGTGCATGTAGAACAATGCATACACTTTCAAAACTCATTTGACAAGTTTTTGTACTGCTTTTTCATAGCCTTTTTCATTTAACAAAAGTTATAAAAAATCTGCTTGGTATTTATGCCAGTTTTCTTTAATGCCAATTTTCCCAATACAGCCACCCATATACATATATGTTATATAGTCAATAATTTGATGTACCTATCTTGTATTGTATATCTATATCTACATCTATTTTCATATATATATATATGTATATATATATATGTGTGTGTGTGTGTAGATAGATAGATAGATAGATAGATAGATAGATAGATAGATAGATAGATAGAGATATTTCCTTTTCAAAGAAAGATCATTTTACGGGCATATCCTATATCAGGGCTGAGGAACCTGCAGGCTCGAGGCCACATGTGGCCCTCTAAGGGTCCTCGAATGTGTACCTTTAACTGAATCCAAACTTCACAAAACAAATATCCTTTAAGTATTTGTTCTGTAAAACTTGGACTCAGTCAAAAGGCTGCAACCAAGGACCTGGAAGGCTACATGTGGCCTCCAGGCCCAGGTTCCCCACGCTGGTCCTATATTCAGAGTGGTCTCTACCTAGATTGACAGTAATCACAATCCAAAGCATCCAGCAACAGAAGCACAAATTATTTTTGCCATATTTCAACAAAATTTGAATTTTAAAGAAAACTCTCATGCCAGTTAATCCAATAGCTACCCAGATAGAATCTTTTCAACATAATGCATGGCATACATGGCCATCCAGCCTTGACTTAATAGTTTAGAACCCACTATCCTCTGAGAATACCCAGGTTTTTTCCTTACATTAAGAAAAAAATTGCCTCTTTGAAATTTCTACTCTTTTTAGTTTTTCCTTCTGGATCAAGTAAAATAAATTTAGCCCTTCTTCCATATTACTACCCTTAAAATATCTGAAAGCAGTTACTATGACTGTGTAAGTCTCCATTTCTCCAGATCAAATATTCCTTACTCTTTCAACTAAGCCACATGTAGCATGAAGCCTTTTATTATCTTGATTGCCTCATCATATATTTGTTGTTGTTGTTGTTGTTATTGTTATTGTTAAGGGGGAGGGAGAATCCTTGTTTGTTTTGTTTTAAGGATGGATCTCTTCCTATCTTTCCCAAGCTAGAAGTACAGTGGCCACTCTTGAACACCATGTGATTATCACAGAGTCTTTGACTTGTTCATTTTCTGATCTCTTAAGACATCTTGGTGGCACACTGCTCTCAGGCACTTAGCATATATTCATGCCAAAGGTTAAGGACACCCACTTGGCTTAGTCCTATTGCAGCTCAGAATTCCTAAATTCATGTAATTCACAGGCTTGGCGTCCCCAGTATCAGGGACTGCTCCTGGCTCTATATCATTTTTAACTTACTAATGACCTTACTAAAATGTGGTGTCCAAATATTCCAGGGTGGAGTATGGTGGAAATATCACCTCCCTGGTCCTAAACACTGCCTTTCTTAAGTCAACATGAGGTCAAGTTAGTATTAGTAACTGTCACAGCAATTTATTAATTTACATTGAGCTTATGTTTCATTAAAACCCTCAGTTTAATTTTTTTTAGCTGTGATGCTATCTAGTGATATTTCCTCCATTTCCTTACTTTTGAAGTTGATTTTGATAGCCAAAATATAAGATTCTACACCAGTAGTTCTCAACTTCTTTGGCCTCAGGACCCCTTTATGAGCTTAAAAAATATTGAGGACCCCCAAATAACTTGTTTATGTGAGCTATATAAGTAACTTACTGTATTAGGAATTAAAATACTTTATTATTCTTATGAAAATAGTTTCGACCTCACTGCCTGAAAGAACCTCTGGAACTCCCAGAGTACCCAGACCACACTTTGGAACTACTGCAATCTCTTTCAGTTTCATTTTATTAGATCTGATCCAACCTTTTTGCTTTCTGAGATGTTTTAGATCTTGACCCTGGCTTTTATCTAATATTATACCTATCTCTCCTTGTCTTGTATCATCCACAAATTTGATAAACACATTGTTTATTTCAATATTTTTTATGAAAATGTTAAATGATATAAAGATGAGTACAGACTGATCCTTAATACACTTACTAGAGACCACCTTCCAGTGACCATGAATGACTAATGACCACTCTTTCAATCTAGCGATTCAACCAGTTTCAAAATGTTTTTTTTTGTGATTCTATCTTAATGACTCTCAAAAAATGCTCTAACATACAGAAATAGATATTTAAATGGCCAGAGGTATGAATTGTGGGAGCAGAATTGTATCATCATTGTGGCATTTCTGGTAACTAGAATAGAGAACACAGTAGACACCACAATAGATAAATTGACCGTACATGCAGACTAATTAGTACAAGTTGGAGGTGGAAGAAGAGAAAACAAGGGAGTAAACAGATTAGCTAGTTTCTCACCTAGCCTTTGTAGACTGCTAGTTTTCATGTTCCCTGTGGGCTGAAGAAGGGGTATATTAACTGGAGTCCACTGATCCAGGGATAGATTTCAGGGAGTTCAGGAATTTGTTATTTTTAAAATATTTCCAAATAATTATTTTTTTATAATCCTATGTATTTCATTTTATACGTTTAAAACATCATTCTGTGAATGAGTCTAAAGGACCTGGATTGTCAAGGGGGTAAAAGGTCAACCTTTTAGTGTCTGGACTCTCAATTCATTCAAATAAGCTGCATATATATAGGCAACTAGATTGATCAGTAGTGTAATAATTGGAGTGCTGGAATTTGATTCAGCAAGTTCAAATGCACTTCCTTGCCATTTGTCCCTGGCAAAGTCACTTAAACTTTATTGCCTTCTATATCCTAATCTGTCAAATGAAAATAATAAATAGTACATACTTCCCCAGACTGTCATGAGGATCTAATGAGTTAATATATGTAAACTGAACTGCAAATCTTAAAGTGCTATAAAATACTTTTTCTTATTATGATTCTTATTTAATCACTAGTGATTCTAAAAGCCACAGACAAGGAGGAAGAATATTACAGGTATGAGAGAGACAGCTAGAAGAAAGTCATGGAGACAGGGAATGGAATATTATCCGTGACAAGTGATCCAGTATGGCTGGGTCAGAGAGATATAGAGGCAAATACAGCATAAAAAAACTGGAAAGATGGGACACAGTCATTTGTGGAACACTTTAATGCCAAACAAACGCATTTAGACTCTAGCAGTAATAGAGCATCACTGGAATTTGTTAAGTAATAGAGTGAAATATTCAGGTCTACACTTCAGAAAAATTATTTTGGTGACTGAGTGGATGGTGGACTAGAACGATTTAAGGCAGTGAGAGTGACTAAAAGGCTATTGTTGGGGCAGCTAGGTGGCACAGTGGATAGAGCACCAGCCCTTGGATTCAGGAGGACCTGAGTTCAAATCCGGCCTCAGACACATGCAAGTCACTTAACCCCATTGTCTAACAAAAAAAAAAAAAGAAAGAAAACAAAACAAAAATAAAAGGCTACTGTAATAGTTTGAGATTGAGGTAATTAGAACTTGCCCCAGGGTGGTAGCAGCAGCAGAAGGAGAGAAGGGATGTTGAAGAGAATGAAATAACAAGAGACTGGAGAAACAGCGAGAATCAAGTATGACAATGAAGGTATGTACCTGGGTGACTAGAAGAATGGTACTTCAGGAATGGGTAAGTTCAAAACAGGCATAGGTTTGGCAGAAAAGATAATGATTTCTGGTTTGGGGCATGTTGAGTTTGAGATGTTCATGTACTGTTCAATTTAAAACATACAAAAGGAAGTTGTTGATGCAAGGTAGACAGACTGAAGCTAGACATACAGATCTGCAAGTCATCTACATACAGATGATAATCAAATCTATAAGAGTTGTTGACATGCCAAATGAGAAAGAAAAAAGAAGAGGATAATATTCACAGTAAGAGGATGTGAAGTAGATAAAGATCCAACAAAGGAGACTGAGAAGGATCATTTAGAAAGGTATGAGAACAAAAGGAGAAAAACATCATGAAAACCCAGAGAGAAAAGAGGATGATATCCAAGAAAGGTGGTCAAAGAATTTTAAGTGCTGCAGAAAGGGGACAGAAGTATGAGAACTGATTAAATTACATTAGATTAAGAAATCATTAGTAATTTGTAGAGGGTGATTCAGTTGGATGAAGAGGTCAGAAGTCAGATTGCAAAGTTAAAAGAAAGTGAGAGGAAAAAAGGTGGAAAAGTGGGATGTAGAGAAAGTTTTTTTAGAATGTTTATCTGAGAAAGGGAAGAAAGTGATAGGACTGATAGCTAAGAGGATAGTAGGAGCTAATGAGGGTTTTTTGATGATGGGGTAGAACTAGGCATGTTTGTAGGCACCAGGGAAGGAACCAGTAGATAGGGAGGAAACTAAAGATTAGCAGTGGGTTTGGGGAGGATGTTTATGGAGGCAATCTGCCAAAGAAGAAAGGAAGGAATGGGAAGAGTGAGTGTTTGAGTTAACTTTCACAAGGAGAAGGGTAACCTCTTCATCAGAGACTGAGGTGAAGGATATAGTGGGCAATGATGTTAGGAGGATGTGAGATGAGCAGAAAGGGAGAATTGAAGGATGGAACATGAGATGACATCCTCAACTGTGAGGGGGGAGTGGACTGGTTATCATAAAAGGATTGAACATAGAAGAGTTGGAATGGCCCTTATAGGGAGTGATATACAGAAGTGATTAGGAGGAGTAGAAAGATTTATATTTAAATGATGAAATTAAAAACACAAAGTAGCATAACAACCCTTTAGCTCTCCTTTCTCATCAGGATTCATTATCAATTTACTCTCTATTCATCTATATTTTCAAAATTTACTGTGACCTTGAAAATAATGTTTAACCATTTTCCCAATCCATATTTTCCCCCCACTGCCAGCTCCCTCTCCCCCTGGGGCACATGGCTCCTACTGTGAGAGAAAGATGAAAATGTCAGTCTTTATTTTTTACCCACCTCCTACCATCCAAAAACAAATGGTTAATGGCACTTCTTCTGGACAATCTAGACACTTAAAGCACTTTGCATTGCAAACACACAGGATAAAAGGGGGAGCCCCAGTTTGTAGTTATATAAATGTATAAAAATAAGTCTTACGCTTTTAAGCTTGGGAGTTGCTTTTCATGAGATTTACTGTACATTTTTGGTTAACATTTCTTATGCACAACCGACATAGAGATGGCAACAATGAAAAAGGATTGATCCTTGGATAGGTTTCAGGGGGTCCAGCAATTTGTTATTTTTTAAATATGTCAAAACAATTGGTTTTCTTTGTCATCCTATACATTTTATTTTATGCATTTAAAAATATTATTCTATGAAGGGGTCTAAAGGCCCTGGGTTGTTAAGAAAGTCCATTACACACAACAAGGTCAGCCTTGCAAACTAGAATTCTCTTGGCAGTATTGATTTTATCATAAAGGAGAAATTCAAATTCTATTGAAAGTTCACATTTTGGTTTTCTTCTGCAGAGGGAATTCAACAACGACTGCAAGCTGAAGGAAAGGATAGAGGAAAACGGATACAACACCTATGCATCTTTTAACTGGCAGCACAATGGGAGACAGATGTACGTGGCATTGAATGGGAAAGGAGCTCCAAGGAGAGGACAGAAAACACGAAGGAAAAACACCTCTGCTCACTTTCTTCCCATGGTGGTACATTCATAGATGAAGCATTTCTTGAAGCAAGTGGAATCAAAAGCTCTCTTCTTAAGAGTATCTGGTAATCCTTGAGAAGAGTAGTCTTGAAAAGCAAAGACATTACAGACCTCTGCTTGTTTGAAAGAGAGGAAGTCTTTGAAGGTTTTGTACTCACTGCTGGCAAAAAAAATCATTTAAATTAGTTCTGTGTCATATCTTATAATGAAGATATAGACTGGATCAAATGGGATGGGTGCTCTTCCCAGAGTGAACAACATGGCTGTTTTTTGTCTTGTTTTGTTTTTTATTTCTGTGATAGAACTTGGAGGACGTGAGACAATCAGATGAATGATCTTCGGGGAAAGTTATTTATGGAATACTAACTCATATCAAAGACTTTCAATGCTCATTCAAGCCTGATGATCCAATGAGCAGTTAGACACGCAAGCATTTACTGGAAGCACTTGGGTCATAATGCACAACCAAAGGAGTTTTTGGTGTGGCAGCGTGGAAGAATGGATAGGATTAAGAAACATAAACACAGTAGTGCAAAACTGTTCTAACAAAACGAATAGTATGGTATGCTTGTGCATTCTGCCTTCATCCTTTCTATTTCGTTCTAAGTTATTTATTTAATAGGATGTTAAATATCTTTTGGGGTTTGAAATATTTTCCTCAGCAGCTGCCTTTCGGTTTGTCTTTTCTTTCAGCATATCACCTTCATGTTCATGAAGTAATAGTTTTAATATTTGGCAAACATTTGGAGAATGGGAAATGAATGTGGCTGTCAGACCAAGGTGGGGGAGCAGATTTTGTCTCTAACCTGCCTTCCTTTGGCTGACATTGCACTTATGTAATAAGCCCCAACAAACAGCGAATCTGAGAAGGGCTGTGGTCAGTGTAAGGTATCTGCCAGCCCCTGAATACATTGACCCCAATATATCATATCCATGATGAAATGAGCACAAATGGCCAAATTCTGTTATTAGTAAGGCATTCCTGACTCCTATTGAATCAGCTTGGGAATCCCCATTCAAAGAAAGTAGTTAGATCTAATTATAAAAAACATAAAATTGCTTGGCCCACATACTTACTAGTGACTCATTGATACATATCACAGCAACAAACAATGAAAAGCCTGTCTGGATGTATAGGAACCATTTGTGACTCTATCACCATCAGTCTCCCCTAAAGGAGCTTTTGAGGCATTTGTTATTAAGTACAACTCTTCCCATGAATTCGACTGAGTAAATCTATCCTGGCATATGTGTAATCATATACTGAAATCTGTTCAAGCTGTATGATCTAGTCTTTTTTTTTTAAATCTTCTTTTCTGTAAATTTAAAGAGCTCTGGAAAGCTCCTTAATATAACCATATGGAAATTCATTTTGTTAGAGCAGGTAAATAGAGAACAGTACATCAGAGTGTACCAGTCTTCACATTGTATTCCACTAAATAAATACATAAGCCTTCTTTGCAGTGTCTGTAGTGAGAAAAAATGTAGTATAATATTATTTGTTCTAAATACTTTAAGTGATAACTGAGATTATATTGATGCTGCAGTTTTATCTCCATATTTCTTGTTGTGAAAAAGTCTGTTTATTTTTATTGTTTGGAAACTGTATTTTGGTACAAAGGAGAGACTCAGTAAATGTGGCTTTTTACTAAAGTTTAACCTCTAGAAAGGCTGGTGTTTTGTGATCTTCTTATAACTTATTTGAGTCAGTGCTTAACCAGCACTTCCAGTGTTAATCTGTTACTTAAATATTAGCTGTATAAAGAAGCTTTCCCATAAAGTACTGAGTGGTCAGACTTTTCTCCTTTAAGTAAAGTTGGATGTTTCAAAAAAGAAACACATTGGAGGCACACAGCATTTTGGCTTATAAATAAAGTTGCATTTCATGGTAATTAGGTTTCAACTTGCTTGTTGACAAATGGGATTTAAAAAAAAATACTTATTCTTGAATACATATGGTTGGAATCCTGATGTTAAAAGTTAACTTGGTAACAGAACTGAAAGCAAAAATGCAATTCATCTCTATCAGGGTCAGATATTCTTGGTTACATATTTTAAAATAATAATTGGGTATGGCAACTCAACATGGACCACCCACAACAACAATGCACCATTTGGTTAGACAAATACAGTATTGGATGACCACTCAAACAGCATCTAGGGCATAAACTGGGTTCTCATTTCACGTAATCGTTTAGATTACCAAAGAGCCTACACATAAACATTCATAATTATAGGATTCAAAACACTAAAATAGCTTCTAGCAAAATGTATCAGTGCTTGCAGAGGCCAAGAATAGAAAATATCCAAATATCCTTCTTCCTTCTCCCTCTCCCCTCCCCCTACCAAGTGAACAGAGATAAAGACAGGAACTATTTCCTGAGAAGTAAGAAAAAAAATCTCCTGATTTAAAAATGGTGACTATGTCAGACAGTACCCTGGTCCCCATTGTGGCTGGACTGCTACTGAAGATAAGGAGTGTCCAATCCTGAGCCCTTCAGGTTAACAACTTCCTGGAAGTTTGGGCAACTCGGCCCATGTGGAAAATGTGGACCTGGGATGTGACAGTGCTTCAACACAAGCATGTGTCCGTGTGAATGTTGATAACTGAGGGGATGCCTCATAAAGATAAAAGAATTGCTCCTCCTTCCTACCTCTCCCCAAAGCTGAACCATGTACAGTATGTTACCTTTAAATAAAAACAATAAAATGCTGGGAATAGAAAATACAAAAATTGTCCTTGTTTGCTTTATTAGCTTAAAATTATACAGAGTAATAAAGGGAAAAAAAAGTCTGATGGCCATGTGCACTGCAGGATGTGGTTAAGGGCTGCATAGCCTCAAACAACAACAACAACAACAAACCCCTCAAACGTTTGTAAGGTTTCTTTAATGTTTTGCATGTGTGAGTCAGCTATCCTTCCTCTAATAACAACCAAATGCTTTAGATTCTTCCTGTGAAGTATCCAGGTCCACCTAGTTTATATAACGGATAAAAAGGAATGAACTGAAAACAAGCTTGCTTTATGAAAGTGGGAAAGGCTTTAGGAAATGAGTTTAGAAGGCTGTGTCTAAAAGGGGCCCCTAACAATGGTCTGGGAATAGCTTCTGAGGCATTGTGTGAGAGAACATCCATGATTCTGTCCCAGACAGAGACACAGAAAATGTTCAGTCTGGGTCATGGCACGTGGGCCCATGCGATAAGGGAAGTAATTACACTGTAGTTAAAGAGGAGGGTAATAATACCTCACTAATTTGGACTCTCAAATCAAAATTTGTGAAAATTCAGAAAAGGGATAAAACTAATATTTTCCTTTGAACTTTGTAGAAAGGTAATGAAGAAGGCATATGAAAGTCAAATCTGCTCAGAAGACTTCAGAGGTGCCAAGCTGGGGCTTTCATGACCCATTTACTTATCAAAAATTGATACAACTAAGAATCACTCATTAAAGTAGTTTTTTTTTTCCAGATAATGACTAACCTTTTTTGGGTTTAATTGTTTGTTTTATTGTTTATCAGTATGCCAATTTTTTTTCCTGTGGAATGTAGGTCACCAAGTCAACTTACAATTTAAAAGGGTTGCCAGGGGACATTACCTTACCATGTTAAGTGACTTACCCACGGCCACACAGTGAGTCAGAGATGGGATTTGAACCCAGGTCTACCAGATCGCAGTCTGACCTTCCATCCATTATGCCATTCCACTTCTCAGTTATCTGTTTATCTAGTTCCCATTGCTTTGTTCTATTCTATACCTAGAATTGTGGTAGGTTCTAAGTGATAAAACTGTGCTACTTTAAAGAATATGCATTCTTTAAAGAATATGCTTTTGTGTGTGTGTGTGTGTGTGTGTGTGTGTGTACTTTTTTTCAGACTGATAGTTTCCAATTGGCCCATCTTAGAAAAGATTTCCTATAATTAAAGAAAGCAAAATGTGATACTTGCCTCCAAAGAGGGTACTTTAAAAGAGTTAAGCATAATGTATTCAACATTGAACTCCTTCCAGTTAATAATGTTGCCATTTATATAGCACTATAGGATTTACAAAGCATGTTATACTATCTTAGATCATATTCATCTTTGTAATCATCTTGTGAAGTAGGAACTATTGGGATTAATATCCCCATTTTACAGAGGAGGAAAGAGTCTCCTGGAGGTTAAATGACTTGTCCAGGGTTGTACAGTTGTACAAACGTCAGGGGTCAGACCCCAGTTCTCACTTGACTTGGAGTTTTGGAAATTTTGGAATTTTGCATTCTTTCTACTAGAACAAACAGGTGAGAAAAAATGAATGTTTAGGTTATCTAATGATCTGGCCTGCCTAGCTATAAAAACTTCCTAACTATAAAATTTTTCTATCATGTAAACATGTCATCATGCACCTTTTCTGTTCCTAAATGTACTGCTAAAGAAACCATGCTCAAGGATGTCTGAAGCATATGGGGAACAAATTATTTCATCATTTCTAAGGAGGGGAGGTCCTAGAAATTATTGATACTTAAATTCCACCAATAAGGAGCAGCCTGTAAAAAAAAAATGACCTGGCTTAATAATTAGTGCTATATCATGGATGTATGCATGAGGTAAGAGAAGAAAAAAGAAATGTTTCCTTGAAAACTGTGTCTGTAAATATCAGGTTATGAGATAAATTAAGTGCCTAAGTATAGACACCTTTTGGAGAAACTGCCCTTGGGTTTTAATAGGAATGTTTTGTTATAAATAGGGTAGTTAAAGCACATGTTTTATCACTCCCTGGTTACGAACAAGAGAGACACATTCTGGTATTTTCATCATCTGAGGGCAGCACTTCTCCACATGATGGCAATGCCAAGTGCCTAGCATGCAGGCATATGAAGTGGATTATAATAGCCAAGACGTGACCAAAAACCATAAAGAGCTTATATTCACATTAAAGTCCAGGCTTGCACATCCTCTGGAGATGAGTGCTGCAAATGAAGAAGCAAAACATTCCATGTTCCTCATTAAGATCATAAATTGAACATATGCATTTGTACAACATATCCAGTGACCCCACCTGTACAGCAGCCAGCTCATATTATGGCCTTTAGCCTCCTACAATGTGGTTTTAATTACCTTTTGCACATCTTAAATGCCTAAATCATCTTATAATTTTTACATTATTTAGTTATCATTCTGTGGTCAATTTAAGCTGCTGACAATGCAAATGCTGAGAGAAGTCTTGCAAGGGAGCTTAAATTAGAACCAGTTTTTGGTGAGGTCCTGAAATTGGGAAAATGCTGCCATTTCTGGTTGCAAGACCCCAGTCCTCAAACAACTTCTTGTGAGGAACATTCTATTAAATATTTATTACAGTGAAAACACCAGCTACTCAGTGGGTAATTCCTGTTTCCTTGAAACAATTAGAATTGTGTTTCAACCAGTATCTACAGAGGCGATCAAACAGCAGTCAGTGGATCTGGAAGTCTCTAGATCAGAGAGATCAATATGGAATCACTGAGCTAATTTTAAATGTTCGATCTGGGTGCCATTCTACCTCAGCTCACTTCTCTCAGTGGACATTTTAGTGCACAAGCACTTGTGTATCCTTACCAAAGAAAGTCAATGTCTTCAATGTGTTATGGTGGGAAGCTTCCTAACAAATAGCAATAGAAAATTACAATTTGAAGATAGGTCTTGTCTTTAAAAAAATAATACTATAAACTTAAATCAAATGTCCTTAACTTTTTTTGTCTGTCCTGAAATCTTTTGGCAGTCTGACCAAGCCTATGGACCCCTTTATCAGAAGAATGTTGTTAAATGCATAAAATAAAATAGATAAAATTACAAAGAAAACTGAAATAGTAATTTTTTTTAATTCAAGGTCATAGACCACAAATTGGAAATGTTGGATAAAATCAGACAAGCAATTCAATATAGAAAGAACAAGAATGAGAACTATATAAGAAAATGAACTTCTATTACATACAGCCTTTCAAAGAACACATATAATATATACATTAAATTTAACAAGGTAGTAATGACCATTTAAAATTTTCTTTTTTAAAAAATCATGTAGTTAAATATAAAAATTTCAATATACAAAGAGAACTGTATATTAAATTATACCCCTTAAGTTTAACATTATAGGAACAAAATGCCTGAATTATCTATGTTCCCTCCTGAAATTCCTTCTCTTCCCTTCCATTTGTTTTAAAATGTTTGATTCTCTTTTTTCATCACTCTCATTACCTATCAATTCCACGCCCAAAGCCCTCCTTTGTAACAAATGAGCATATAATCAAGCAAAACAAAATGTCTACATCTCATTCTGTGCCTCTAGTCCATCCATCACCACTCTGCCAAAAAGTCTTGTCCTTCTGATGCATTAACACCATAGGGGACATTATTAATGTTCCTATATATCAGAGACTACACACCAGGAAAGAAGAAGGTGGGCCTAGTTTAAATAAGAATCTGTTTTAAAACATCTGTCCTTATCCCTCTGCGGATATGAATCAATTCAAGTCTTACTTCAAGGACTTGTGGTTTTCTTCTGTGTGATTTCTTCTTCCTTCAATGCAAATACATTTTTAATGATGTGGTTGATTGTCTTCTAGAGCTAGGTTAATTGACTGTCTCCTATCACAGCATGGAAACCTTTATAATTTGGTAGGCCCAGGCACAATCTGTGTTTCACTGCCACAACCTCAGATAACCCAGGCTTCACACCATGCCACAATGAGGTATCAGAGTAGGTATTTTGCAGATATGAACCTGGGCTGGCTCTATTGAAAATTTCTCTTACTGGATGAGGTAAAACTATTTCACAGTGTAAGCAGAGTTTGTGGAGTCTGGAAATAATTGCTGACATATCTGGGATTGTTAATGACAATTCCAGGAAGCCCCCTAGCTTCTGGAGAGCATACGAAATTAAAGATTTCTATAACTTCTGTGGACCAGATGAAGTTAAGAAGAAATTCCACTTTCTGAGGACCTCTTAAGTGCCAGTAGAACTGAGACAATGAAGTAAAAAAGTGAATCGTTCACATATTGTCCCAGATAAATACACACATGGATCTCTAAGCATTTTTCCTTTCTCTTCTTGTATTATGAAGAAAGCTTCCCTTTACCTTTACCCACTCAGGACTAAAATTCTTTCTTCTCTCTCTTTTCCAGTGCTCTAATTTATCCTTGTACTCATTCTGCTGTTCCACTGATCCCTTTTTCCTTTCCCCACTATAACTGAGTTGGTGGGAAGATGTGGATTTATCTTACTTTCGAAGAGAATTGTTGGCATTTTAAATCCTAATCATTTAATTTATAAAGTTAAATCTCCTGTAGCCTTTTAATTCTCATGATGTTATATTTGTGTATATATAGAGAGAATATGTTCAATGTGTATATGCATATGTATACATATAGTACATATAATATGAATATTTCAATCATTTAAAAAGGTTAAATTGGTTGTTCCAAGATTCATCTATGTATCGTGGATCAATAAATATTTGTTGATTGCTGTACTGATTGTATTTGTACTCTTAAGTAACTATTTTTTTTTAAAAGTCCAATTTTATTCATGTACCAAATGGGGAAATGCTGGAGAAATACTTCTGAGAGACCAATCTCCCACTGTGCAGGGCCTTTCTTTCTTTCCACTGGCTCCCCTCCCTCAGCCTCCAAACATGAAAAAATGTCTCTTGGCCTTGCCATTTGTCTGCCATTTCTAAGCAGCCACATCCTTCCAATTTCTTCATTATATTTCCAA